ATCAGTCATACTGTGTTTCTCCTGGTAGCAAATTGTAAATTCTTTGGGGTTGCAGTTGTAATAAATACAATTTTAAAAAAAAGCCTTGAAAAATTTTACATTCCAGTTCTTGTTCCCATAACATATATGTAGATACTTTCTTTATCTGTTAATATGTGTTTATATTATATATGTATATACATACATAATTTTTTCAAGAATCTAAAAAAATCACACTCCCTGCTATTATTTTTATTTACATTTATTTGCTAATTTATTTTTAAACCATTTTCTCTAATAAAGATGAATGTTACATTTTATGGGAAAATTAAAATGAATAGTACTATTCTAAAATTTTTTGTAAGAGTTTTTTTTTCCAAACACATTGATCAGAAAAAGAGAAAGGAAATGTCTCAGATTACACAATCCTTTGTCAATTTTAATAACATTAGACTGCCATCTTTGCTTAAAGACAATAACATATTATACAAATAAATAACAATGATATCATCAGGTTATGGGAATGCAAGTGATTAAGAAAAGAATCTTGAGATAAGTTTGTTGTATGAGGGTATTTACAAAAACATGATGCATAGTTTTTATTCTGGGGTAAGAACATATATTTTCATCTTCGTGGATAACATGGAATTTTTTTTTTCAAAAAAGTTCCCAAGTAGCTGCCCAACTTTAAAGGATTCAGCATCTGGAATACTTCCTTAGCCACATCCTAAAGTCTTCTAAAATCCCCATGGAATGCATATACTTTCAACTCCAAAGAGCCACACTGTGCTCCTCCCTGCTTTCTAAAGCAATTGTTGGAATTTGTTCCCTTGCCAGGAAGACAGAAGTTATTCCAAAAAATTGCTACAGGCAAGGAGTAATTCCCCCTCCATATGAAACTGGCTGCATCATTTCATTGGCACAAGTCAACACTATTCCCTGAGTACATTTATAGTTTAGGACCATGTTAACAGAGTAGGAAGGAAATGAAGTGCCCTGGAGGGATTTGGAGCTGTTAACTTTTTGGGTACTTCATTGTCAGAAAGGATTTCACAGTGCTTAGTTCTCTAGTCTGTGGTCTATCTATTCACTTAGGATTAGTATTAATTTCTGTTTAACATTCCTAAATAAGGGTTCTTATCTCCTCTTTAAGAGCTGTCAATCATGTAAAGTATTTTTTTAAAGTGGCAAGAATGTATCTATAGGTAAAATACACACATATAAAATACACACATTAGTAAAATAGGCAGAACTTGACTGTTAGAACTCATGTAAAATAAAACTTTTTTTCCTCTTTTGTTACATGTGGTATTTATTCATATGATGGCAAAAATGTTATTTCCTAGGGAGAAAACATCATGCATCAAAGATGCATGGCCTTTTTATTATTATTATGAAGTAATAAGTATCTGTGCTTATTTCAAAAGACTTCACTTCTACCCCTACCCCCAATGTAATTATTAAGAATTTGTTGTAAGTTTGTCTTCATTTAACAGATAACTTTCATACAATGTTCATATCCTTAATTTTGAACTGAGCATAGAGACAATTTGCCATAAATATATGTAATGAACATGATTACATGAGTACATAGGATAAATGGATAAAATTATTTTGGACAGAAATGTTCAAAAGCAAACTTTATATTTTTTACCTTTATCTCTTCATTTTACTACTCCTAATTTTTACTTAGATAAACTTAGAGGCAGAGATGTCTAATTATATTTTTTACAATATAACAGAGGAATTTTTAGGATCCTACTACAATCAAATATTTACTATAGAACAGAAACTTGGAGATTACCTAGTTCAACCTTCTCATTTTGCAAAAGGAAAACCTGAGGCCCAGAGAAGTTAATTGATTTGCCCAGGATCACAAAGATATTATGCTAAGTAGCAGAGCTAGAGTTATATTCCAGGTCCCCTGACTACAAATTCAACTCTCTATCCCCTCTTTAACATTCTTCTTTGAGGTACAGTAGACAAAGTTAAGACTACTGATCTAGTATTAACTCTACCAATTCTTGTATTTGGTGACCTATTTAACCTTTATGAGCCTAACTCAGTTTTATCATCTGCAAAATGGAGATAATAACTGTTGACCTAGATCTACTTCACATGAATGAGTTATTTTAAAGATCAGATATGGTCATCAATATGAAAAAAATGAAAAATCATAAAATACTATAGAGATGTGAGGTATTACTATAGTTAATTATACTGGCAGATTATTTTTAGTATATGTAGTCTGTTAATTTTGCCTGCTATACTTCAAAGAATTGCTCTAGTATATGTCATATTAATGAAACTCTCATTAGTATAATTTATGTACATTTCATAGGTTCATAGCTTTAGAGCTAAAAGGGACTAGGTACTTACAGAATTCAGTGCCATTTTATTAACTTCTTTTATTTCTAGAACATCCAAGAACTGGTCACTTCAATCTTAGTACTATAGTCTTCTAGTATTGTTCCTGGAAAGAACTTACAAGTCTGACTAAACATCCAACTCTGTGGATATACTATACTTAAATATACAGTATTACATAGTAGATAGATTCTTAAGTACAATCAGAAAAAAACTGAATCTGGGTTTTGTCTCAGACTTGCACTGTGTGACCATGAGTAAATCACTTAACATCTGTTAGTCTTTGTTTCCTTATCTGTATAATGGGAAGAATAATAGTACCTACTTTGTAGGTTTGTTAGGAGCATCAAATGATGTGACATTTGAAGTCTTTTTAACTGGAATTTGTTCCCCTGCCAAGAAGACAGAAGTTACTCCAAAGAATTGCTACAGGTAATGAGTAATTCCCCCTCCATATGAATGGACTGCATCATTTAAGTGGCACAAGCCAACACTATTCCCTGAGTACATTTATAGTTTAGGACCATGTTAACTTAGTAGGAAGGAAATGAAGTGCCCTAGAAGACACTGGAGACCCTTAGGGTAAGTCAGTCCCCTCATTTTATAGATGAGGAAGTTGAGACCCAGAAAAGATAAGTGACTCTCTCAATGTTGCAAAGGTAGCAAAAAGGATCATAGTATCATATGAAAGAGACCTTACTCTAAACCTTCACTTTACAGATGAGGAAATTGAGGCTTACGGAGTATATATAACTTGCTCTAGATCACCCAAGTATTAAGTATCAGAGATAGCAAGTGAATTCATGACTCTAAATACAATGCTTTCTGCTGTACTATGTTATCTCCCTTCAAAATGGTTCCAATCAACATGAAAAAATGAATAAATATCTTTAAGGAGAAAAGATCTATAATAGTTGTTGTTCACAAGTTTCTGTCATGTCTAATTCTTCATGACCCCATTTGGGGTTTTCTTGGCAGAGATACTGGAGTGGTTTGCCATTTCCTTCTCTAACTCATTTTACTGATGAGGCAACTGAGGCAAACAGGGTAATGTGCCTTGCCCAGGGTCACACAACTAGTGTCTGAAGTCAGATTTGAACTTAGGAAGACAAGTCTTCCTGACTCTACCCCCTGGCTCTGATCCACAGTGCCACCTGGCTGCCCCTGGCAATATTTGTAGTCCACATAAAATAAATTTGACAGAGAATACTCACAAAAGGTTTTCTCACTCTATTTACTATGCCATCATTTATACTTCATGAGGGCAAAGTTTGTCTCTACAGATTTTCTGTTTTCCCCAGTGCCAAGCACAGTGTTTGACACCACTATATATTGAATGCATGCTTATTTAATTGTATTCAATGGAATAAAATGATGAAAAATTAATCTAAAACTAAACTCTTATGAGAGAAATGCTGCTATGATTCATGAATTTTTATCTAGATAGCTTGTAATTACTTACTTATGAATCACTGATAGGTAAGGCTTATTGAGCTTTCCTATACTTTGTCAGGATTCAGACCCTTGATTTTATCAGCATAGTCAGGGCCCTGGGTAGAAACTCCCTCTTTCAATGCCAATTACAAACTTTTCTGTCCATTAACATTTTAGAGTTGATTGAGTCACTTAGATGCCAAATAAACAGTAACAATAATTATTACTTTTATTATTATAATAATAATGGTAGTAGTATTAACAATAAAAAAACCCCAGCATTTATGAAGTTATTTAAGGTTTGTAAAAGGCTTTAAAAATCACATCATTTGATGCTCTTAACAAACCTCTGAAGTAGGTACTATTCTTCTTCCCATTATACAGATAAGGAAACTAAGACTGACAGATGTTAAGTGGTTTACTCATGGTCACACAGTGTAAGTCTGAGACAAAACCCAGATTCATTTTTTTTCCTGATTGTACTTAAGATTCTATCTACTACTAATACTGTATATTTATGTATAGTATTTCCATAGACTTGGATGTTTAGTCAGACTTGTAAGTTCTTTCCAGCAATGATACTAGAAGATTATAGTACTAAGATAGAAGTGACCAGTTCTTGGATGTTATAGAAATAACAGAAGTTAATAAAATGCCACTGAATTCTGTAGAAAGTATAACTACCTAGCTAGGCCTCAAAGAGGAGCTGTGAATATGTAACCGCTCCTTTCATTGCTGAGATTGGTGATGATTGGTTTGGAATCTGGTTAGACATATACTGTTAGATAGTGTGTTGATTGGTTTTAATAAAATTTATTTTCCTCTTTTAAGAAAAAAAAACTTTTTTATGAAGAATGGCTCATTGGATTAATAGGTGGAAATGATGTATTTAGACATGAGTATAATCAAAACAAAAGATATTAGTAAAATATTTTTTCAAAAAAAATAAAGACTTGTAAGACATTATAACATGGAAATTCTCTCTTTGAAATAATAATAGTAGGTAACATTTATGAAATACTTAAAACATTCATTCATTTTCAAGAAAATGTTGATTTTTAAAAAATATTCCACTACAATGAGAACCTTAAATGTGACCAAAGTTGTCCTATTTTAGAGTCATTTTCAGATATGTATCTGGAATCATAAAGTACAACTAATTCTAATAAGATATTCTTATAGTTGAAAAAAGCTAAATATTTTTCTTTAATATTAAATAGGTCCCCAGTGGTACCCTTCCCATGTTGGCCTTCAGTTGGAACGCAGTAAGTGCTGATCAATAATTTTCCACCATTTTGAGTAACATCTTAAAGTCATGGTTATTATTCTTGTTATCTTTGTTATTACTAATTTCTTCTGACTTTTTCACTGCCAAAAACAAAGGAGTCCAGATAAGAAGCATCCTAACTAATAACATGGTTTGGTAATATTTATTTAGTAATAGCATTTTACCCAGTGAAAAAAAAATTAAATCTTTCAAAATTTCAAGATATCCTTCAGATTTGGAGTTTGTCACTAACCATAACATGGGTTCTCTCAACAATCAGTAGAAATAAAGATATAAGAAACAATTCTTATTGATTGTGAAGGATTTTTATTTACAGAATATTACATAACTCTAATCTCAGTTTTTGCTTATAACAATCCAAATTGGCCCACTAATTAAGACAGATATGCTACTTAATAGATGAAGTTGAGACTGAGGTTAATTAGTAGAATATAAGCTAATTGAAGACAACATTTTGGAGAAGCTTCATAAAAGGTTAGTTAATTGAATTTTACTGTGTGGTCAACTTTCCAGCCATCACATCAGTTTAAAAACAAACAAACAAACAAATGGTAAATGTAGGACAAGAATGAAGAATCCTTTTTCAGACTATTGCTGAATCATACTGTTAAAATAAAATTATTCAACTCATATATCCACTTAACCTTATAACCATTGTAGGGCCCTTTGTGCTGATAACTTATCTGCCATATGCAAGCATATGAAGCCACACCATTGTATCTTTCTTTATCACACAGATTCTCTATGGGAGTACTCAGGAGAGCTGCCAAAGCAGTGGTAATTTTCAGGATAACTTAATCAGAACAAGTGTTCAACTTGTCCTTACTATGTTCCTATGAGCTTATTTCACTGCATTTCTGCTACACTCAAGAAGTTTCCAAGAGCTCTTTATCTCCATAACCATTCTTTGTAAGACATTAAATAATTCAGCTTCTCTTCTCTGGACCGCTGCTTCCTCATCTGCAAAAGAAGCAGTTTAACTAGATTTGTCTGGGGTCTCTTTCAGTTCTCTGATTTCCAAATTATTATGAATAATGATGAATTAAAAAGAGATTTTGTACTAAGAGTTAGAAAATCTTTTTTTCACTAAAACACCTAAAGAGCAAGTATTAAAAATACACACTGATTATTCTGCCCATTTTTATTTTCCCTGCCATTCTAAATAAATTGGTGAAATTACTATCTTCAAACCCTATCCACAACTCTTTTCAGGTTTTTTTTCATTTTTTTAGTCCTTTCACAGAGCTATAATTATTGACAGAACATTATCTGCCTTTCAGTTTTGAAAAGTATCTATTTGAATTCATAAAATGTCTGCTTATTGTCATTTTCATAAATAAAGACTAAATTTTTTGTCCCATTTCTCAGGTCCAGTATGAATCAGAAATAGAGACTATATATATATAACAGTGAAGAAGATCTTTCTGTATTCCCAGTTCACTAATAAGTGATTTTTAACATTGATTTTTAAGTAATTTCTAGCATTGCAATAAATTTTACTAACTGAAGAGGTTGAATTGAACTATTAAATAATTTGAGCAAAATAAAACTAGGCCTTTTAAAATAGACATATATTAGTAGTTGTTAGCTAACAAAAGTTACAAGAAACACTAGTCATTGGGATGGGTGTTATGGTTCTGGACCTGTAATTTATCTACATAGGGAATTTCGACTTTGGAAGATTGACAAATTGTTTACATTTATTATACCTATAATCTAATTTGCATCATAGTTATTTTATCTTATTCCTAGACTGAATGCTCCTTAAGGAAAGGGTGTTTAGCATATAGTAGATTCTAAATGTTTATTAAATTGAATTTACCTTTGAAACTCTCCAAAATTTAAAAGATCTAAATAGAATGCTATCTTCAGATAATTTATAGAGTGACCAGAAGAGATTCATAAAGTTAGTCAGTCAACAAGAATTATGGCTTACTAAATATCAAGTACTTTTTCTAAATGCTGCAATTACAAAAACAAAATACAAAACAGACAAATAAAGAAAACTCCCTATCCTTGTATTCAAGAAGTTTAAAGTCAAATGGAGGAGGCAATATGAAAATAACTAAGTACATACAAAACACATAAGGAGTAGATTAAAGATAATCTCAGAGTGGAAGCCATTAGCAGCCATGGGACTGAGAAAGTCCAACTGCATAAAGTGGGATTTGATATCTTGAAGGAAGTGAGAGAAGCCAGTAGGCAGGAGTGGGTAATGGGGAGGGAGAGAATTCCAGGTTTGGAGAACAGCCAGTCCAAAGATTCAGGCAGAGTCAGGAATTGGAGTTTGTCTTGGGATGAATAATAAGAAGGCTGATGTTGCTAAATTGTAGAGTGCATGGAGGGGAGTAAAGTTCTGGACAACAATAATAGATAGAAAGGAAGGATATATAAAGAACTTCAAATGCCAAATAGAGGACTTGGTGTTTGATGCAAGAGCTAACAAGGAACATCTAGAGTTTAAGGAGAATGAAAATGTGTATCCATATTGATGAGCTCACAGTGCATTGAAGAATTAAAGAAGATTCCTTTTTTTTTTAAATATTTACTTTGCAATTGTAGAAGCAGAACAGTTTTAGTACTTATATGGACCTTGAAAGTTTCAGAAATCCTTGTCTAACTCTTCATTATATAAAGACTAGTATTAGAGCTAGAAGTTAGTATTAAAATGCATTTGTACTTTCTAAATACATTAGACAATGTAGCTAGATCATGTAGAGTGAAAATCTCAAAGTTTCTTGAATTGCAGGAGTAAGTTACTTATGGATTAGAGGGTTGTTGCAGAAAATTCCTTGATTATAACAATCAACATGTTAATTATAATATTGTGGGAGCATAGACAGTTTTTTAATTCAAAGGGATATCAGAGTTCATCTAATCCAGTCCCTTCATTTTATAGATTAAAACATATATATATATAATATACACATACATACATACATATGTGTATGTGTGTAGGTGGTGTGTATTCCAAAAGGCCATAATTGCTTTACCTAATGTCACAAAGATAGTAAGTAGTAGAGATTGCTTTTGAACTCAATTCTTCTGATTCCAAATTCAGCAAATTTCTTTGTGTTTTTTAACTACGTTATCAAATTAAATACCCCTCAAGTCAAGATTTTTCAGCTTTACTTTATGCTATTAGTTATCAAAAAAGTACTCTACTTATGTATATGTCTATGTATGTATGTGTGTATGTATATTTATAAGTATGCATGCATATTTTTGGATCAGACTTGTGGTTTACTTGGCATAGAGAATTTGGAAAGTAGTTGACACCTGTACTGGTGGAGGTGAAATACTCATCAGGAGCTCCCTACATCATTGAGATTGGTGATATTAAGAAAAAATAAGGAAAAGAAAAGAAAGAAAAATATGGAACTCCCAATAAGGAAATTATTTCTGCTAGTGCTTGTTCCACAACCTGTAGACTTAGAAAACTGCTGGAAACCAAGAGAAGTTTAATGATTTTTTTCAAGGGGCACAAAGTCATTCATTGTTTGTCAGTGGAAATACTTGAACCTTAGTCTTCCTGACTCTAAAGCTGACTTAAGCCAGATTGTTTCTCTCATATATTTTTATCATGTTTAATTGAATTGATTTAATTGATCTTTAATTTTTTTAAAAATTATAGGTGGACCCTTTCTGAAGGATTATGTTAACATTCAAAGTATTGCAGCTTCTTCCATTGTTACATTATATTTCACAGATCTAGGTCAGCAGGTCAGTTGGACAACAGTAAGTACAAATTTGAATTATTTAACAAAGCAGAGCTTGACATAAACTCTTATTTCCTATCTCATTCTTTCTCTGTACCTCAAGCGGGGAGAAAAGAACATATTACAAAGTAATACAGAATTCAGTCAGTTAATCAGTGATGTAACTAAGCTGTAGCATTAATAGTATTTCTTAACGTTTCAATAAGAAAATCTCTCCTTAATAGAAACAGCTACTTCTTGATATGATTTATCTCAGAGAGAAAAAGGGAAAAGGGGAAAGAGAGAGAGAAAAAGAGAGAGAGAGACAGACAGACAGAGACAGAGAGACAGAGACAAAGACAGAGCAGAGAAGAGACAGAAACAGAGATAGACAAAGAGAGACAGAGACAGACCTGGAAAGCTCTGATATCAGTTTTATTGTGATTTCAAGTGATGATGACATGGTGTGCAGGCGGTAAAGTTTCTATAAAGGGTAAAATGTGGGGAGTAGAAAGTGATATGGAGAATAGAGTGCTTGAGAATAGAAAGGACTCCATTGTTCAGTACATAAATGATTATACTCATGTAGGTAGCTATACTATTAAGAAGGAGATAAGTCTCTAATTAGAGTGTCTATATAGGTGTAAGTAACTGCTTCAACCTCTAATTTAGAACATTTTCTCATCAATTTAAGTAAATGGTCCTATTTTTCTATTTTCATTTTATTTCATTATGAACTATCCTTTATTAGATTTCTTCTGATTTTGCCTTTATATCCCTAGGATTTTCTTCTTATTATTTTCTTATTAAAACATTTCCTTTGAGAATAATAATCTTGACATTTAGAAGATTGACTAATATAAATTAATTGCAAAAACAATGAGGAAAAAAATCCCCAGAACTCTCCTCAGGCAACAAACAATTGACTTATTTGCCAGAAAAAGAAAGGTGTCTGCTAGAGACAATACCCAGTAAAAATGTAATTTCCATTGTAAGCTTGTACAAAGAAAGATGATAGATGATTAAGAGTAGTGTCCTCTCATACAGTAGAGAGAAGCAGTGGAGGGTAAGACCAGATTAATGAACATTTGGCAGGATGTCTAATCAAGGGCACTCAAGGATGAAAATGGAAGTATTCTTGCAAACAGAAGAAAAATGGAAGGTTGAAAAAAACATTTAACAACTCTTTCACCATCAAGAGCAGTGGAACCACCATTCTTGTTCCCTAACATTAGAGTCTTGGATGTGCTTAGGTTGTTAAAAATGACACTAAAGATTTGAGAGAGAGAGAGAGAGAGAGAGAGAGAAAGAGAAAATCAGTAAAATCATACTAAGTGTATGTAAAGGAGATCTGGAATGGAGATGACCCCATTGTGGGTGAATTTATTATGCATATGCAAGGTATCTGAAGGAAAAGAAGAGATCAAAAGTGTAGGAGGAAAATAAAATCACTTCAGACGTTGATACTGGAAAGGGGTAACAAAGTGAACATCACTAACTATATGTCTAGTCTGTTTTCTTTTCTACACAAAATCTTTAAATGAATCATCAATACGCAAAGGAAGGACAGAGTGAGCAGACTTTACAAAGCAATATGAACAATGGAATACATATTTATAATTTCACAATTAACTGAAAGTTATTTAGGATCTCATTTGCTTAATTTTAGATTTTTATAAAAAATAACAATTTAAAAAAAATAATAATAGCCAGAAATTACATAGTGCTTACTATGCATTGGTAACTGTTTAAGTACTTTACAAATATTACCTCAGTAGATTCTGGGAAAAATCCTGGGAGGTAGGCGCTATTACTATTTCCATTTTACAGATGTGAAAACAGACAAACCGAGGTTAAATGATTTTCAATGGATTATTAAGTAAACATTGTATAAGAGGGAAAATGAGGGGGAAATGCAAATTAAAATCTGTGAATAAAGTAATATTTGTAAGGCAGTTTGAAAACCTTAACATTATATAAATGTTAGCTATTGTTATTATTATTTATCACAATTATCCAGAGAAATAAAACGTATATACTTTAATGGATCTTAAAGATGCTGATCACAATTCTCATGCCTATCCATGATTGACAGGAATAGAGTCTGAATATTAAATGTCTGAGGTCAGACATGAACTTCGACATGTGCTCCTCCTCAGGAGAAGCATGAACTCCAGGCCCAGCATTTTATCCACTGAGCCGTCTAGCTGCCTCAAAAAGAAAACAACAACAACAACAACAACAAATATTTAGTTTTGTAAAATAAAACAAACCTTATAGGCTCTTATACAATAAGTTGTTGTCCACCCTTACATGAAAAAAATATATCCACACTTCCTTGGAATATATAACACAGACGATGATGTTCAACAAAACTCTGATTGTAAGTATCTTATGATGTATAAAAGACAGGGAGAAAAATTATTTTGAAAAATATTTGCCAATGGGATGGAGGAGATACAGTACAGAGTCCATTTTGAAGAATAATTTTTCATGTGGTTCAATGGAAAGAGTCCTGGCATCAGATTGAGAAGATTTGTATTTAAACCTAGCTATCTGACCTTGGACAAGTCATTTATCTTCAATCAGTTAAATTATTTTTCATCTAGATAATAAGAGAGTTGGACTAAATATATTTCTATGGTTCATTATAGTTAGAATTTTGTGATCCCTGAGGTTCTCTTATTTTCAGATGATATTATGTTAAATGAATTAGTGCCCAGAACATTGCAGACCCTCCTGGAAGAGATCTGTAATCACTCAAACATATCCAGCTTGTTAATTTACACAAGAAAGACCAAGTAAATAAAAAAAAAAAAAACCTATTATTTATACAATTCATTGGAACCAAAATTGAACTGAATATAGACTAGGTATATAGCCCATTGCTGGTCACTAAATCTCTTGGAAATTTAGGCAACTTTCCAAGTATATTAGTTGTAGAGAACATATTGATATGCATGAGCAGAAAGAGTTTTCTCATCTTGTAGAAACTATAACAAGAGGGCCACAGGTCCAGACTCTATCTATTATCAAGGAATTTGTAATTCATAATTATTAATTTATAATTGAAAGAAAAAATGGTCAAGAGACATGGCAAGAAATAACAATTAGAGGTATACAATCAGAATGTGCTTGCAATGTGAGAAGAAAGTGAAGGACTCCTCTAGCACTTTGGATGAACTTACTATGAGAAGGGGTCCCCTAATGGCAGAGAAGTTGTGGGATAAATTGTTAATAAATTGAGAAATGCCAACTAAAAAAGCTCTCAGGGTCCAACTCAGCCTCATAATAATAGCAATTATGACAAAAGAGGAAAGTGACAAATATTGTAGGGGTTGTGAGATAATAAACTTCTTAATACAATTATGGTAATGCTGTGAATTGGTCTAGCCTTTCTGGAAGGCAATTTCTAACTATGACCCAAAAGTCACTAATACAGGGCATATTCTTCAAAGAGATAAAAGAAAGAGGAAATATTTATATAAATATATTTACAACAGCTCTTTCCATATTATCCCTAAAATGGAAACTAAAGGATGATAACCAACCTATTTAGAAATACTTAAACATATTGAAGTATATGAATTATGGAATATTATTAGACATTAATTATTCAATTGGAAGATCGAAAATAAATGCTATAAAAGTGATAGTAAAGATTTTGTTATTTTTTTTTTTAAAGAAGAGTTATAATAGGACATGGACAAGAATTGCAAAGCAAGGACAGGCATGAAAATTGTGATCAGCATCTTTAAAATTCATTAAGGTATATAAATTATATTTCTTTGGATAATTGTGCTTAATAATAATGACAATACCTAGCATTTGAATACTTTTAAGTTTCATAAACTGCTTTACAAATATTAATTCATTCAATCATTTAAATTGAATTTCCCCTCATTTTCCCTCTCATAAAATATCTCCTTAAATTTCTTTTCAGAATTTTTATGTACTAAGCATTTATTATTGTGTAAAGTATAATATTTAAATAGCTCACTTCCATAAAGAGCTTTGAAGTATTTAAAGCATATTTTATATGTTCATATGTTCACATTTGAACCTCACAACAACCCTATGAGGTAAATGCTATTATTATTTCCATTTTAAAGATGAGGAAATGAAGCTAAGAAGCCAAGTGATTTACCATGGTCACACAGCTTGTAAATGTCTGAGGCAGGATTTTTTTAACTCATCTTCCTAACTTGAAATATTACACAACACAGCACAATATAATATTATCTATAATATGATTACCATAAAATACAGTTGACATAACATAATATAATATAATGTGATATAATACAAGACAATATGATATGGCATCATGCAACATGACAACATATATATATATACATGTATGTATTTATGTATATATACGCATGTATTTATTTATTTATGAGAGTGAACTCGGCTACATTTTATTTCTTACAAATGGGTTTCTTTCCACTTTAGAGTATCCTCTCTGTGTATGTGTCTGTGTTTGTGCACATTTCACTATTTTCAAATACAAGAATATAAGAAAATTATTGAATACTAGATACTGAAAAATATTTGTCCTTTATGTAGATATGGTATCTAAAACATTATTTAAAAATAAACAAAAATATGTTACAATGCTTGTCTTTAGTGACCTGGGCATTCAGAGAATGTATTGACCCCCTTTTGAGTACACAGGGTATGCTAGTTCTGCAATTTCTATCCAGGCAAATTCTGTTTGCTGTGACCTTACTAAAAATTCCAGCCCTATCAAGCAGGCAAAGGTTGAAAAGGAAAAAAAAAAGTGTTAGGGAAGAATTCTTTAACAATCTCATGAGGAAATAGCTATTTATTTTGGAGTGAAAGTCACCCAGGTGACAAAAATAATGCTGACTGTCTTTAAATCTTTTCATTGACTTATTAAAAGTTTTTGTCTAAATGAGCAACTTAGGTTAACTGGGGGGGGGGCATGCTCTGCCTAGCAATGACATTCATTTTATGGTATCTAAAAATATTTACCTACAGTGTAATTTTACTGCTTATAATATCCTCAAAGTTATT